TTGGCAACATAAGAGTTGTATGACGTGGTTTTCTAATTTAAAACAAATCTATGTATATATGATGTTTGACGTATTAATTAATGGATTCTATTAAAATGACTCAAATGTGGTTTGCAATATATCTTTGTTTCTTCGTACGTGTTATCATACATTCAGGGGCAAATACTCTTTTGTTAATGTTTCAAAAAAAAAAAATACTCTTTTGTTAATGGCACATCAACAAAATAAGTACAAACGGGAGTACAAACCTATGTAACGTAAAACAGAAGCGCGTACGTGAAATCGTAACATTTTCAAATACAAAAAAAACGTTTTCAAACGTTAACAAAGTTTTTTTTAAAGGAACAAACATATTGGCGACACACTTTTTATGGTTCGGAAACAAAAAAAATTGATTAAAAGCCTAATAGTTGCTTTGCTTCAACAAATCGTTCGCCCTAACGCCGTTAAGTTTTTTCTGGTGGCCAATTTCTCTCACCGCCACCACGAGAAGGACCCCGTCCCTTTGCTCTGCATTTTCTGGCTCCTCTTCGGTATTTTTCCCTGCAGTTTGGATTCAAATCGGGTCGTTGAAGCTCCGGATTTTTTCCTGCTTTCATTTGCAGAGATCTAGCTTTGCCATTGCTTTAGCGTTGTTCTAACATTCTATTTTTCCATAATGTAATCGTTCACCAATTTTAAATAGAATACACTTTCTAAAGTAAAAATAAAAACATATTGACAAGAGAAAAGTTGTATCACGTGGTTAAATGAAGACGATCACAATAATCGATTCTTTCAAGCTGCTACAAAAAAAAAACCATTTACTTTTAAACATAATTCATTGTTTATATGATGATGATGATGCTGGCCATTTATTCAGAGGAGAAGTTGAAATTGGTAATCATGCTCAAATTTATTTTTAAGAATATCTACACAAAGGAACCACACTCTCATAGCTCAACATATTAATTTGAGATTTCATAAGGGCATGATTATAGGTGAATAGAGATAAATATAGTGAGTTTTTAATATTATAAAATTCATATATTTACTTACTCCATATTTGAGTTTCTAATTTTAGGATCTATATTACTCATATTTATTGGGGTAATATAACA